TATTTAAAAAATTCAATGAAATCTAGAATAAAAATATGGGTACCAAATGAAAGGGGAAATTTCTTTAGAATTTAAAAAAATAAAATAAATAAATAAATTTTTGGATTCACAAGGACGACTAGGTAATTTTTTAAGCTGATAAAGTTAGAAGGACGAAATTCGAAACAAATATTGCGAAATTTCAAGGATAAAATTTTAAAAGGAAATTTTCAATATTTACCAGTCCTTATGCACCAAAACATTTAATCTGATTAAATTCTACAGAATTTCCACTTTAATTTGATACCTCTACTTCTTCTCGAAGCACATTTCACTGAAATGTTTAAATCATTTTTGAATTACTGACGTGAAAGTGAAAAACTAAAAACATAATTTTACAATATTTGGCCCATGGTTTCGCTAATATGTTGGTTTGTGTGTCTAAAATTTACTATCGCACAATGTTATATGTATAATCAGCTAAACATTTATAAAAAAAAATATTCATTATTAAATAAAAAAATAAATATAGCCAATACTGGTCAAGAAAAGTAGTTTCTATTATTGCCATAAGTGCAAATTACAAATCCCGAAAATCCCGGGGTTATTTGCCAAGAATCCCGGAATTTTCGGGACCTAAAAAAGGCCGGGATCCCGGAATCCCGGGATTAAGATTCCTAGTATGTATCGACATTAGTATATCCCAAAACCGACAGTTATGAAATTAACTTCACAAAAATATATATCTACCGCACATTGGTATATAATTTTTGACCAAAAAAATTAAATTTAAAATACTTCTTAGTTCAAAAAGTTTTTTTTTTTTTGTTTCCTCAAAATAGTATTTGGATACGCCCCATAGTATTTCGACTATATGGTAGACGGTGGAAAAAAGTACAAAATTTGACATCATTTACACACTCCCCCTCTCTACATTTCTAAAAAAATACTATAATCGGCGCGATTCTGACTAATCAGTTTAGTTGCCTTTGGCACTGAACCCATTAAAGCAAGTGTTTCTTTATCAACTGTAATCAATTCTTTAAGTGCCATGGAATATTCAGATGAAGGCATTTATGATCTATTTGTTTAGTATTTTCCTCTTTTTTATATAAAAAAAAAATTTCTTAGAAATGTAGATGCTAAAGATTATTGGTTAAAAAAGTGTGAGTACCGGTTCGTCAGGTTTTGAAATTAGATGCATATTTTAGAGAATTTCATGCAGTTTTCGAGCCTATCAATAAATCTTTCCGCGCGACCTTGCAAACATATGAAATTTTTGATTTTCTAAATTTTTCGATTTTTAGCTTCTTTTTGCGTAATTTCGCGAAAAGAATTTTTCGAATAATGAGAAAATCCCACCAAACATTTTGAAAATAAAAGATTTACACCTATGTACATACATATGTAATTTTTAAGTATAACCTTTTTATTCTGAGAGTGGACAGAGAGGGTAAAGAGAGATTACAAACTAAATTTCATCGAAATCCAACACAGGAATGGAGGGCGTGGAATTTCATAATTCCGTACTCCTAAGAAAAATTAGAGCACATGTCATCTCTCAGCGAAATTATACCACCTGCCTCCATATTAGGGTTGATGATATCGGGTACTCGGATACCCGATTTTTTTTTTTGCAATACGGGCAACTGGCTTTTAATTATTTTATTTTTCGCAAATTTTTTTATAAAAATATGGTTAATTCTACAACATAAACCCCAAAAATCAGAGCTCCAAACCTTGTGCAAAATTATTTTCGAGTACCTGGGTAATTACAATACCTCCCGGGTACCCGGTCTACCTGGTTAGCCCATTACCCTGGTCAAATCATCATGTACATACATAGAATCGAGTTATAGGTTTATAAATTAAATTTCCAGAATTAAACACCTTCGAAAATATATAAACCCACATTCATAAAAGATAAAGTATGTATGTTTCATAAATTGAAAATTTGTTTGAAAATCTCATGAATGAAGCCATAAAAGTTTTGGGAGGGAGTAACAACACAAATATACTTTTAAGGCACAGTGAAGCACGCCGGGTATTTGCTAGTATTTTTTTTATAAAATTTAAAAATTTTGTACAAATTAAAAAACGTCAACAAAGGGGTGTGCTATCCTAATGTCCAACAGTGAATGAGGTAATATTTTTAGAAATTTCGGGTATGGAGCTGGAGTCGAAATATTTAGTTCGTATTAAGAAAGCTTTCATTAAAAAATTTTTATTAACTTATTTATATAAATTAATGAATATTAAATAAACAAAAGGATAACTGTAAATACTAAGGATTAAAAGCTTGCGCTTTCCAAATGACGAGCGGTGTGCATACATACGTATCAGGCCATCATTTTAGCACAGATATGTAATGTAAATATTTTAAATTATAATTCCTAATAAAACCTAGGATTGTATAAGAAGTTTCAAATTATCCACACTCTTTCCGCTCCGCTTAACTTTACTCCCACAACATTAATATTTTTTAGCTTACATTCCAAGCAAGCATGTCTGGTTTCTCAAATAAATTTTAGAATTTTAAATGCGGCTTATATTGTAAACACGAGCACAACGACATTAAAGCTTTTCATTGCAAGCAATCACGAATATGTGTAGGAGGCAGGTACATATTTAATATGTATGTATGTAGCACATTTAAAAAAAGTAGTTAATATTTTAAAACAACAATGACGCCCACCTACGACATTGCGGATTTTGTTATTTACTCACAACGCCGATGACGACGACAGGACGCCAAGTCAGGCGTGGGTAGGCAAATAAATAGGGAATATGCGCAAGGAAGCGTAGTCGCACATAAATGGGTAATCAGAGTATGTGCCTATGTATGTATGTTTGCGGGCGTGTGTGTGTGAGATTTCCCATTTATATGTACTAAAGGCATACGCGTGCAGCAGGTAGACTAAATATTTATTTACGATTTGCGAATGGGTTACGTGTGCGTGTGTGTTTGGTTTTGGGGTAAAGCAAATTAAAGTAGATGATTACAGACGAGTAGTCTGCTTTAAGGCGCTTTGGCAGAGTGCCATAGGACGGCATGGCGTATGGCGGGAATACACGATTAACGACTTAATAACTACTTATGAATTGCGATATGAATTTTTGATTATGTCTTTTGTTTCGCTGTCGATTTTTATTTGCTTCGCACAAGTGGAAAGCTACATTGGGTGAAGCTACAACTACTTTCGTTTATTCTTTTAACGGTATATAATTAAGTACTTAAATTAATTCGCTGCTCGGTGACTGGCAAACTATGTTTGTATGTTAGAACGTCGCTGCTGTGGTGGTGATGGTTGTGCGGGTTGAAGCCAGTCTACGCCTACTTGAATTTTCATAATTTTGCGATTTGTTTTTTTTTTTACATATCAATTTGTTTTTGTTGTTTTTTTTTACCAATTTTGTATAACAAAAAAGCTGTTGCGCATATAAAATAGCTTAACTGCATATTTTGTTATGAATATTTAGCGCAAAAAGGAATTAAGAAACGCATAAACTTA